GATTAATAGAAATAAACTGATTAATAATTGGGAGATCCACCTTGTCATTTAAGAGGAATGTAACACCCATATAAACATTTCGGAACTCTGGTATTAAAGTTAATAATCCCTGTCTTACCCATTGTAGATGATTATAGTATGCACAGTATGGCTGCATGTATGTCTAAGTGTTCATTTATTAATTAAGACTAAATATGTGTTAAGCATTTTACAAGCTGTTGGAAAAACTTAATATATTGGGAAGAATCATAATGAAAAATACTTCAAATATTATATGTGGAAAGTTTCTTGAGGTCATAAATGGTTTTTATTTATTGAGCTTTTACTATTGCTAGGCACAGTGCCACATGCTTTATATTAATTATTTTATTTAAGTCTTGTGACACTCTTGTGATGTTATTGTTACTGTCATTTTACAGATGAGGAAAGGGGCTCAGAGAATTATATGTTTCTTTAAGTGCCTTTTGAGCAACTAGTACTCACCCAACAGGTGTGCCTCCCCACCTTGATGGGCCTTAAATTTTAGAGGGAAAGACAGGCCTTAAATAAATAAACATACAGATGTATAAATATAATATTTTATTTATCCATAATAGATTATAGGTAAATTACAATGTTCACAATGTGATGCATTTAATGACAGAAAGATACCTTGTGAAACAGGTAACTAATGGGGAATTTGCTGTGATTTGGAGGTGAGGGCAACTGCGTTGGGGAACGAACGCACTATTTGCATTGAAGCCTGAGAGATGAGCAGGAGCTAACAGTGCACAGCGGCGATGGGATGGTGGGCATGGAGGGGGGCTCTACTCCACGACTGCTAACTGGGGATGGGACTGTAGCTCAAGATTTCCAGTCAGAGGGCTGGAGAGCTCACACAAACCTGGGTCTGATTCCTGAGACATTACTGGTTGAGCAACTTTAGGCAAGGTACTTGTTTCTATCTCAGTTTCCTTGTTTTGTGAAATAAAGGTGATAATAGTATAAATCTGGTGGTATTTTCTGAGGCTTAAGAGAGTTAAAGTTTGTGAAGTTTTTAGCACAGGGTCTAGAAAATGTCACTTATCTAGTAAATGTAGCTATTATGAATAATAACATAATAATTTACTGTTATAAATTAAAAATAAATAAATAAATCCTACCTTTGGTAGAAGAAAAGACAGGAATAAAAAGGGAGAGATGGTGCTTCCCAGGTCTGTTTAAGGGATTCCCTCTGTTCTTAGGGTCTCTCCTCTAAACCCACTGCCCACAAACTCTGACTGTAAAGTCCTTGACCACAAGGGCTCTGCCATCTATTTCCTGCCGCTTAACACAGTACTTGGCTCTAAAGTGATGATTTTTGCATAGTGATGATATTTGAAGCTGTAGGAGGAGATGGAATTGCCAAATTAAAGAGAGAAGAGCCTGGTCATGGGAAACACCTGTATTTATTTACAGTGGAGAGTGAGAAGTTGCTGCCAGAAAAACTAGGATAGTTGGTCTCTATGAAGGAAAGTTAGTGCTGTAAACTGCATTGAGGTCTGGGAGGACGAGGAGACTAGTAAAGGGACCAGATGTGGTGAGAACCTTCCTCATGGAGAAAGCAGTTTCAGTAGCAGAATTCAGATTTTGAAAATAAAATGTAGGTGGTGGTAAAGAAGTGGAAGCAGTTGGGTGCTTGGGTGCATGGATCTTTCTTTCAAGAAATCCATGGTAAAGGTAAGCAGAAGGAATAATTACTTTTAATGAGTTGCAGGCTTAAGAAATTTTATTATTGCTGTCATTGTTAAGGGGAGTTGAGAATGCTGGTTCTATAAGAATGGAGGGAAGAATTGCAGAGTACTTACTATTGATGAATCAGGATCTCGGAGGCATGGGGGGTTGATAGCCTGAGTTAGCCTGACCTACGTAAGGATCCCTGTGTATTTAGGTGGAAACAATCTGACTCAACTGTCTGTACTTTATTTTGGTGTCCCCTTTCTTCCTCTTTGTCATCATCTCTGGATTTTCGGTAGTTCAGAGTGCCCAGCAGTGAGTGGCTAGCACTCACACATTAGCTGAATGAAGGAAGAAATGGACGTGCCCATAAAAATGAAAGCTTATCCATTTCTGCTCTTCCCAACTGTCCCCTTGTAAAGTATGTACATTTTTGAGGCTTAACTGGCTTTGATAGTTTTATGATAATTTATTTTTTTAAAGTGTGGGTGAGTTGGCGAGTGATCACATTGGTTCTATTTTATTGTGAATAAATAGTATGTCAAAGTTTTATGTCGTTTCAAAAAGGTTATTTAGAATAAAACTTCCTTTGAAGCCACAATATTCTCTTACTCAAAATATTTATTTAGACCATATTTTTAAAATATATATAATTCCCTTAAGGAATGATTGTAGTGTATATAAATCTGGATTTAAAACAAATAGACCTGGAATTCATAGAAATACAAAATGGATATTCCAGTACTTAAGTGTTTATATACAAAAGTAGTTGAGGTGTTCCAGTGTTTGTACGTTTAGGAACAGAATGAGTAGAATTTAGAAAGAAAGATGATGATCTGAGAAGTTTAATTCCCAAATGTGCCAGATGTACAAAGTTATTTGGGAAGAGAAAATATTTGAATCATAAGCTAGCTTAGAGTAAGTGAATCAACGATCCAACCAGTGAATAAATAAATATACATAAAAATAAAGCAACTCCACAATCTCATAATTGTTCAGGTCCTGAATAAAACTATAATTTAAAAGTGTGCTTTTAAGCCCTGGCCAGGTAGCTCAGGTTAGAGTGTCATCTCCATACACCAGGGTTGCAGATTTGGTTGATCTCCAGTCAGGGCACATACAAGAATTAACCAATGAATGCACAAATAAGTGGAACAACAAATCCGTGTTTTTCTTTCTCTTTCTCTCTGCCTTCCTCCTTTCCTCCCTTCCCCACCCCTTCTCTCTCCCAAATCAGTAAAAATTTAAAAAGTGTGCTTTTAAACACCATGAAAAATTAGGCTATTTTTATAAAATAATTAAATATTATCAAATTAATTATTTAAAATATGTATGTCTTCTGTGCCTGAGTTAACATATAGTCCTTGAGATCATCTCTTTTTACTGATCATCCCTTAATTTTGGTAATGCAGGGGTTTTTTGTTGTTGTTCTGTTTTGTTTTTTAAGGATTTATGAAAGCTTCTATGATCACACCAGATTATATAAATATTTTAATGTCAACTTGGTTGTCATATCTGAATTTATAATTGGATAGTCTGTAAAGTGCTTGTTTTTAGTAAAAACACTGTTCTTTTTTTGTTTTGACCATGATTCAATGTAGCCGTGAGTTCATTAACAAATGATTGTGTTAGTTTAAGAAACTGTTTCTAACCTGGGGATGTTCTAATATATTTTCTTGGTAACTATTGAAGGTGAGGTAAGAAATTTTGGGAGAAGCATTTCCCCTTATAACCTGCAAATACATATATTATTCTTGCTTAGTCAACATTTCCTTTTGTGTCCCTATTACTACCAGTTCCTTTCATTACTAATACATACACCAAAGTTTTATAACCTAACTAATGTCATTGGACTGTTGACAGTGGAAGAGACCCTGAAATATCAAGCAGATCATACAGTTGAGTATTTCCGCAGAGGTAATAGAGGAGCAAATCAGGGATGGAGGTAAGGTAAGAAAGGAGTCTTCAGTGAGGAATGTAGCATCAGAAACCCAATGGGAACCTACAGATTTAATGTTCATTAATGAAAGAAAAATACTTTAAACTTGCCTGATTCAAAACATAGGGAAGAGGGGGACCTTCTTTAGCCTTACTCTCTGTAAATGGAATTTGGCTCAATGATATTAATGATAGCTCAGGTACTGTCTGTTACAAATGAAACAGTTTATATAAAAGTCCAGATGATTCCAGGAATATGAGCCTCTGGAGGTATGTAAGTGAAGCATAGCTTTGAGGCACAGAATTGCAGTTTCAGGTAGCCCCATGCCTTTGCCCTCCTTCCCCCTTCACCCAAATCAGCAATCATTGATTGCATATAAAGCTGTGGAGAGATCTTTTCCTGGCAGTTCAGGTAGTTACAGTAGATTGTTAATCTGTGAATGATTAGACTAAATCCCTTCTGTCTTCAGAATTTTCATGCAAATTAGAAATAAATGTATGAGATAAATTTATGAACTGTAGTCTAGGGCATAGGTCAGCTTTAGCACAACTCTTAAGTATAGGATTTTATCCATAAAAAAGTTGTACTTCATTTATGCTAATTTTCTATGGATTCACTTCATGATATAAACTGGTGAGAGGATATTTAAAAGTACTGTTAAAGAAATGAAAGATTTTTTAATGTATTTTTCAGTTTTCTGAGACATAGTTGGATTGTTCCAAATATAAAATGTTCAGATAGTTTTTCCTGTTCTATATCTGATCTTTAAAAAAATATAGGCTTTTTTTCTTACATCACCATTAAAATAAAAGAGTTGTTTTGTATCTTTCAAAATAGGAATGAAAGTGAAATTATAATATCTCAGGGGTAAAAACAAGGAACTGGGAAGTGATTAAAAAAAGTATTTAAGTGAAACTCAGCAGGAGAAAAGTAACATCCTAATATTTGTATGTTTTGTTTTACTTTTATCAACATTTTACTTGAACATTGTCATAGCCAAATGTATATTTTTGTATTATTACTAAATGATAAACAAATTGGATTAGCAGCAATATTTTTTCTGTTTTGGATCCTGATGTTATAAATCCAGCATGTTGTAGAATGAGTAATCCTTTATTCTTATTCTACTCTACATATCTAGGTTAAAGGTTACATTTGAGTAACATGAAATATTCTATTGCTGAATGAGTCTTGTTTTTTTTTTTTTTACTTTTTATAAGAGATTTTGATGGCATCAAAAAACTCTCCAGGCCTCCACCAACATGAAGACTTTAAAAATGGAAGTAGATGCTTCTTAGTAATATGTACAAGAAATGCAGTACCTTTGAACAGATGCTGATGCTTTTCTCACTCCTTTATTTTCCAGGCCATCCGTTGCACACTGGTAAACTGCACGTGTGAATGTTTTCAGCCGGGGAAGATTAACCTGAGGACTTGCGATCAGTGTAAACATGGCTGGGTGGCACATGGTGAGGAAAATCTGGACCTCTCTTTCTGTTCTCATTGTGTTCATGTGAATGTGCATGTTTTTTTAGAGCAGTCACTGGTCTGGAGAAGAGAGGGGTCAGCTGTGCTCCAAGTGTCAGTTAACATTCATCCTGTAGCTCTCAAACAGCATGTTTTCAGCTCCAAGACATAAGGCTTAGGTAAGGAGTTGTCAACAGAAGGGTGAGATGTTTATAGGACAGCTGGGCCACAGGATTCTGACCAAACAGAGCAGCAGCCAGCAATCACCCAGCCTGATGGAAACTTAGACACACCACAGTTCCTCTTCCAGGGTCTAGACCTCAGAGGGAAGCTAGAAAATCCTTTTTCCTTGAGAAGAACTTCATGATGATTGCTCACCCTTGTCATACACATTAGAGCCTGAGTTTATCCTCCCAGATATTAAATTTTGTATAATCTAAGGTGGGTGGCAAAAGTGAATGGGAACACTCTTTGGCTGGTATCTGAGAAAATAATCTAGGCAACCTTTTCAGTGTGTGTTGAGATCAAAGGTACCCAGTATTGGTGGCATGTGAGCTCTGTGGAGGTGTGTGTTGGGGGCAAGGATGACCCATGGCTAAGGCTGGAAAATGTTGAGGCTTTCTGCCAGATACACAGAGCTGTTCCATCGATGTGTCCTTAGCATTTCACTTGTTCTTATATATGGTTTATGCTTTTTACATTTAGGCAAAAGGAGACTTATAAATAAGCAGAGATATTTTCTTTACTTCCTAGACTATAGAATATTAAAAGATAGGTAATGTTTATAAAAGAAATTTTGGCTTGAGATTTCTTTGCCAGCCTGGGGCATTGGCTCTTAAGTGGACATATTCTTCATTCCCAAGCAGTGTCAAATATCCAGTAGGTTGTATTTTTATAAATGTCATGTTATTATAGCAAGATCTAAGGTAGCACCACCGGGCCATGCTTTGAAATTCTCTTAATTTATCATGTACCTAGCTTGTTAGGGCATGTATGTTGGACTTGTGGGGACGTTTCAGCCATATTTCTGTGAGGGAGGGAGAAAAGAGGTAATCGTAGCAGGAGGGGAATATCCTGGAAGGACTGCGCCTGGCAGACATGGCCACAACCCTTCAGAGCCCCCTGGGATGGAACTCTTTCCTGCTTCAGTTGAAAGCCAAGATCTGTGACAACCCTCAGCCCAGTTCGCAACAACAAATGAACTGCTCTTACTTATGCAGTCTGTGTTTGTTACTACATTTGGTGATTTCTTGTCTGTCCCTATATTAGTTTGCCAGGGCTGCCATAACAAAATACCACAGCCTGGGTAGCTTTAACATCAGACATTTCTGAAGACTGCAAGTCCAAAATCAGGGTGTTTTCAAGGTTGGTTTCATTCTGAGAACTCTCTTCTTGGCCTGCAGGTGGCTTCCCTTTCTCTGTGTCCTCAAATGATCTTTCCTCTGTGAGTGCACATCCCTGATGTATCTGTGTATGCACAGTTTCTCTTCTTAAAAGGACACTAGTCGGGTTGGATCAGGGACTGCTCTCCTGACCTCATTTTAACTTAATCATCTCTTTAAAGGCCCTATCTCCAAACACGGTCACATTCTGAAATGCTAGATGTTAAGGCATAACTCTAGGAATTTGGGGGGAACACAATTCATCCCATAACAGTTTCTGAATATCCTTCGTAACTTGAAGAAGCATTGGCTTTGCAAGGTAATAGGTGCAGAGCTTGTGTCCCAAGCCCCTCAAGAATCATGGAGGCAGTATTGGGTTACATCCTAGCTCTACGACTTCAGTGACATTCAGGTTCGCATCTCAACTTCTTGTTTTTTTTTAAACATATAATATAAGATTAATAATACTTTGTAGGATTATTATAAGAATTAAAGATAAAGCATATGAAGCTTTTAAAATAAATAATACATGTTACAAGTAACAAACTGGACAGTGGATGAACAATAAAGGAGGGTCAACTATAAAACAAAGGACTTTTCATTTATGCGCTCTCATTTTTTCCAAAGCCATCTTGTGTTACCATCATCTTTCTGCTGTGGTAGCTTTGTGAGTATAAAAGTTTACTGTGTCACTGGTTTGTTTTATCTCTCCAACTTCCACGTGCATATTACATTAGTAGTAGAAGGGGGTAGGGGAAGCAATATTTCTTCCTTCTTGAACAACATAAATTATTCCTGGCCAATGGTTGTTTCTAAGGCTTTCTAAAGGATGTAATTTTTCACCGAACTTGAACAAGGTATTTCTGTTATATCAAACTGTGCTTTTCTTACTGAGTCATTAGAAATTCTATGATTCTTGGATATTAATTTTGGAGTTTCTCAGATTTTACTTTCCTCACCACCACAATCACTTTGACCTCTATTTTCACCCACAACACGGATACGTCTGTATACAATTCAAGATATGTACACACAGAGATACAAATCCCATTCTTCCCCCATCATGGGCAAATTAACAGTGAAGGCTTAGCTTCCAGCTTCTGAGTTGGCAGTGGGATGAGAGCACCCACTCTTTTTGCCTTTAGCATTTCAACTAATTGCTTCATTCTCTCCCCCTGAACAGAAACCATGAAATCATGTCTCCAATTATTTCTGCTCAGAGGTGAAACACAGCAGTCCTCCTGGCTGCTTTACATAGTACAGTGTCCTATGTGTAGGACAAGGAGGGAAGCGACTTGTTTTTTCTAGTGAAAAATTTTAAGTGGATGGAACAGCAATAAGACTACCAAGATAGGTCTTATAGAAGTCTTTCATGGTAGCACTGAACACATTCCATCTTTATTACGCTGCAAAAGAAATCCTTATGTTTGCTATTGAAAAATAACCAAATGCCAAAATCACATGTTCTCGACAGAAAACAGAATTTTTAGAAAAATTTTGGCCTCTTTTGAATAAATGTCTTAATGTATCTCCTTTGTTAGCAGCATCTTCAGTTTCTTTGTAAGATGTTTAAGTTTCATGTGTCATTGTACATTTTATAATATGTATGTCTGGATATACATAAACATATACACACATGTACATGCATACACACTTGCTCACTTCATTACTTTACAAATTGCTTCTCAAACCTGCTTGAATCAATAAAAGGAGGATCTTCTTCCTAAGGCACTCGTTTTTAAAGTCAGCTGTCAGGCCCTTTGTTTCTCTCCTTTTCTTTTTCTTTTCTTTTTATTATTCAGTTGATCTATAGCTTTACAGAAACTTTGAGAAAAATGTTTTTAAAAAATTAAAGAGAATGGGTGATTAATTGATCATAATATAACACTTGGGTTTTAAAATTACTCACTGGACCCTGATGCTATTCACAAATTACTTCCTTGAAATCTTTAGCACCATTGACTTAAGGGAATGTGGGGGAACCCGCTGCCCAAAATAGAAAAAACTTCCTTGAATATAAATAGATATTTCCTGTTGAATTGATAAAGGCTTCCCTGCCCTTTTCCCTCCATCAATGAATTTCAGCTCTTTCACTTTGATAATAGAAAGCAGGCTTCATTGCATTTAACTTTATTTAAAACAAGCTTTTTGGGGTAAAGAATGTCCATGCCTGCAGCATACTTAATTGGTATGCCAGAAATGGCCCAGAGTTTTCTAATTTTGTTGCATTTCTGTTTAGAGTTCTTGGATAAAGGACTTCAGCATATTGCCATTTAATTCATAACAAGTTCATATTTTTCCCTCCTCTGTTTTACATTCTGTTCTATGCTTTTCCTTCCGTCAATGTAGTAATCAGAGTGAGTCTTGGGGGGAGGAAAAAAAAAACATATCCTACAAATTTTAATTGTTCTTGGTTCAAAAGTGCCAAAAGAAGACATCAGGCTTCTTTCCTGGTGTCAAAAATGTTTATGTTGGTAGAAATTTCAGTTTGTTGTGTTTGACTATTTCCCACCACACTAGACTGGTGTGGTAATTCTTCCATTCACAAACTGAAACTTCAGCCAAATATTTTACATAGTCATAGGAATTAGCAAGTATTATCAGTGTATCCCCAGTGGTGGGTAAGGGTGGGGGAGGGAGACGGGTGCTCCCTACTCATCGTTTTCCTTTGAGGAGTCTGCTTCTAAGGAGAAGTGTTACCATCAGGACTTTGTTGTCTTTTGAAAAACTGAAGGCACAGTGAAAGGGTAAGAACTATTGTACTTAACCATTTTTATTTATTACTTGAAAATTAGTTTTAATGTCCATAGTCTTGATAAAGACTTTATTTCTAAACTATTAACTTAATATAAATAAAGTAGTAAAACATTTTTAAAAGTAAACTATTTTCCAAATGATTTTAGGAAATATTTAATGATAGCCCAAAACATCTGGAAACTTTGTTTTTAATCACAATGGGGTACATTTGATAAAAGAGGTGGGAAGATTTTAAAAAGGTAATTTTTTCCTTTACTAGACTAGTAAGTTTTACTTGTGACAAAGCCCATTTGTTACCTTAAGAAAAAAATCCACTGTTTTTTGATCTGGCTACTAAGCATTTGGCAAGGATATGAGGCTTCATGAATAAGAAATATATTGCATAGTTTAATGAACCCCACAGCAGCTTTCTTGGTGCAAATTATTTTCTTCATAGAATCCTTAGACTGTAAACCAATAGAATGTACCATTCCAACAAGCTGTGTGATGATGGAATTTTTGTTCACTTGTAAGCAATGTGAACTAACACTAGTTGTTTACTTTGGCTGAGGTCTGTCTACGAGAATGCTTGATGCACTAGAACTCCTGAAACCTTTTCTTTATTATGTTCCATAAATGTGACTTCTCTGTACTAATATGATTTCTCTTTACTATGTGTAGTTCATTCAAGGAAAAGATAGTCCTTCTTTATTACTTTAATTATTTGCTCATTAAGCTAGCTGCTTCCCTGCCAGTTTCCAAACTATTCAGGTTTTTTTAATGTCAAATGAGCAGGCTTGGCCTGCATCATCTGGACCATCAATCAATAGGTATTTATTAAACATACATCATATGTGAGGTACTGTGCCAGATATCCTTCAGTT